GCACATGAACAGAATTAAAATATCTCGGCGTAACATCATCAAACAACGTGTCAACTTGTCCAAGCGCGTTCTTTAGACAGTCTGTAAGGTTACAAAGTTATCTTATTTGTCATTCCGCCTAAGACTACTACTGTCGGTTTCTCACAAGATGATTGCTAAATTTGCCAACGCATGTGTACTCCCTCATTGGTTTCATTGCACCACAGTTAGTTTCCCTTGTCTGTTTTATAGAAACAGTTCGATTTACTGGCAAGATCCCTAAAACACATCTCGAAATGCAGTGGCACCAATAGAGACACACTTTCAGACTTTTTTCTTTATCACACACTTTAGTTTGATCAACAGTAGACGGGGTAGATCCCATTGTGGAAACCGGTAACCTAAGCCCTGAGACTTGGGATGGCGAACCACATAAGGCCACACTGAGTTGGACGTGGTGTTGAACCGGATGATAGCAAGGCTGCCTACCACCAAAGTTGGTTGGCGGTGGCGAGGTTCGAACCTCGGGCCATTGGGTTCAAAGCACGCCGGTGACAGCAACTAAACCACTGAGCCACCACCACCAATCTTTGACAGATACATACGTGCATATGAAAATTTTATGACCAAAATACTCTCAGAAATTTATCATTCATTAAGCAGTGAACTTCTAAAAGCCCAATCCCCGTCACCGATACGCTTAAATTTTCAGTTGCTCAAACCTTTGCATATTGTGACTCTATTTCACCATATTTTGCACATCTGCCTGTTGATAAGAAGAATGTTCTTACCGAATTATCTGCCTGTTTGTCTCGTTAAAAAATCTGACACCTAATTCGTTTCAATCTCTTTTCGTCTGGCGTGGAAAAAACTGGTGATGAAAATTCTGTATCTCCTGTACTGGGATCACATGCATGAGGATGAACACCTCTGCATGTGTGTGTGCGTGTGCAGGATTTACTCATAAAAACTGAGCATACCTTCATCCTGAAGTGTGTTGGTTGGCAAACGACCAGAAATAGCCGAAGGTATTGGTTCGGTCGGTCCCGTCGACCCCGACACCATACCATTCGTGTCTCGGCTATCTGGGTTCAACTCGACCAGATCAACCTCGGGAATGTGTCGGATCGGATCGGTGACTTTCTCCAACGGCACTGCGTGTTCGAGGAGCGGGGCTAAATGCACCCAATAGGGGGAGAATGAGCAAATTAGTCTGGTGACTACACACAGTGACTAGCACAATAGTGAAACAGTGAATCACATTAAACAGTTACTTGATTCGAAAAGGGCAAATTATGTGCAAATATTTGGATAGTCGAAAACGGAATTGTTCGTGTGTGTCTGTGTGTATGTGCGTGAATGTATGTATGTATGTATGTATGTATGTGAACAAGCCAGCAATAAAAGCTTGACAGGACAGTGGCGAAAAACGAAGTGCGGTTTCATCGAGCAGAGGGGCATTGCTTCATGTAATCCAATTAGAACCATCGGTCTAATTCAATTGATAGAGATAAGAACAGTTAACGCCTCCTGCTTTGGAGACAGTTTCGGGAGTACAGAGAACAGCAACTGGGGTGGGCTGGGGGTAGGGGCGGATGGAGTTGGAGATGGCGGTGTAATGTGAAGTAAGCGGACGAGTTCCGGGGGAGAGTGAACAGTGAAAGAAATGAGGCCAACTGAGCAGTACAGTCTGGTTGACTGCATAAAGGTTCTTGATCTGACCTAAGCAACTCCTTCTCGTATCCGATTACCGAAATGGAGTTGAACTAGACTGGACGGAATGGGATGAAAAAAGGAGCAAAGAGGAGCGTTTCTCGAGGCTGTCTGGTTCTAGTTTTAAGAAAAGTGACCCTTAACATCAATTGCTCAAACGCGAAAACAGACATGTGGAATTATAACCGAATTTCAAACTACAGATTGGATAAATATATACATCTGCACGGAGGACAAGAAGATCGCGTAATAAGGTAACCATCACCAGTCTCGGGTGCCTCAGTAAATCCGAGGTACTTGTTGCCACGATGTTATTAGCAAACTGCAAATTGATAAAGTAATTATATATATATATATAACCCACCTACAAAACATGAAATCATAGTAGACTCTTCACTGAATTGGATCTGACTGATCAGAGTGTTCTATCAAAAATTACACGGTATTGCAAATGAGGTTATTGTGACGAAGGTACACATCCTGGGTACAAATATATGAATGAATGAACTGACAAAAGATTACCAGATACACATACCTAAAGGGGCGACAAGAAGCGCGAAAACAGTTGTGTTCTTTCACAAAACTTTTTTGGAGTTATTCACATACTACTTACTACGAACTATATGCGAGGTTTGGTGAAGTCAGTGGGAGATGCAGTGAACACGCTGTTCGGATATGAGGACCGACAACCTAAACGTTGCAATTCGGAAATTGACTAGTCCCCATCAGGATGCCATTGAACCTGACAATAGTGAGGCAATCTAGAAGCAAAGTTGGTTGACACTGACAGGGTTCAAACCCCGAACCTTAGAGTCTATAGAACATAAAGACTTAAATTGCTCGACCAAGAACAACTATTACAATATTCCAATACAACATCCCTTCACTTGTGAAAATTTCTGGTGTTTGATTGATTTCCCTTCGACAGTTCTTCAGATTTCTTAATATTAGTGTGAATCCTAGCTCGAAATTTTCAGATACCTACACAATTTATTCAGCAATCCCCCACCCACACACGGCACAAACCACAGCTGATTTCATTCATTTCCTGTTCCATGACCGGAAATAGGATCGAATTCAGTCTGAGTCAGCCAATCAAATAGGAATTTCACTCACATCTTTCAATCTGTCTTAAACATGCTGCTTTTATCATCACTTTGGTCTTTTCTGTCCCGGAGAGCCGTCCAACACCGTCCCATCCTCCTCGCAAGTACATCAAGTTATTTTTGAGTCCGGAAATCGGAGCACTAAACATTATTTGCTCAGTCTGTGTA